AGAAATGTGTGCATCCCGGTAATACGGTTGGTTTCTTCAGGCCGATTTTCTTGGCTGTGATAACTGCCTTTATTAACTTTATATTAACGGGGAATTTCAGACGACAGGAGCAGCACCGTCGTTGCCATTCAAAGCAACAGCGAAGGGCTCAAAGGGCCGCATTGTGGCTGTGATTGGTGCCGTTGTGGATGTGCAGTTTGACGAAGGATTGCCGCCGATTCTCAATGGGCTTGAAGTGTCCGGGCGGAAGCCACGTCTTATCCTCGAAGTTTCGCAACATCTTGGTAATTTTTGTTTTTCATTGGTGTGCACAGTCCCTTACTTTACAAGGTATGCTTCGGTCTACCTACGGCTGCAAATTACCACTTTACAACTCCGTCCTCCCCGTCGATCCTGCTGAGAACGACCAATTTTTTCTGAGCTTCTATGGCCCTTACTTCTTATTCTCTTTCAAGGTATAAAATTAATCGTTTTGTTGGTGAACCGGCAAATGCTTTCTTTTTTTGGCACTTCTTGAAATATTATAGCATCTTTTTAATTTTCTTTTTTTTGGCTCGTAGCCCATTTCACGGTAAGCTATATTTGTCAGGTGACAATGTTGTACGAACAATTGCAATGGATGGTACGGAGGGACTTGTTCGAGGCGATGAAGTGATTGATACCGGTGACCCGATAAAAATCCCCGTTGGTCCCGAAACTCTTGGCCGTATTATGAATGTAATTGGTGAACCGATCGATGAGCGCGGTGAAATCAAAGCAAAAAATTTTGCACCAATCCATGCTGAGGCACCAGAATTCGTGGAAATGAGTGTGGAGCAAGAAATTCTTGTAACCGGCATTAAAGTTGTCGATCTGCTTGCACCGTATGCAAAAGGTGGAAAAATTGGTATGTCTTTTGACTTGGTATTTATATTATTTTCAATAATTTGGCGAAACTTAGCTAGACCACGCAATGTGCATTCATTTTTGGGTTCATGTTCAAGTTGCGAAATACATCATACCGTGGTTTTTGTCTAGGGAGGTTCTAGTTGTTGCGTCTAGGGAAGTTCTACGTGTTGCGTCCAATCGTGAAAAATTCTCATGATAATTTCCCTGTCAGCTAGAGATAGCGGTGAATCCGTCGACTTCCAATAAATATTTCATTCCGAAATAGCTCAGAACAGTGCCTGAATCGCCAAGATCGTCATTTAAAGAGTGCATCCGGAGAAATTAGTGGGAATTATCCTTTTGGAGCGCATCCACTCAAAGATTTTATTTTGAGAACTCGAAATAAGCAGGTTGGAATATTGCCAGATATACCGGTTTTTCTCATTTTTCAGGTTTATTCGGTGGCGCCGGTGTGGGGAAAACCGTGTTGATTATGGAACTGATCAACAATGTTGCAAAAGCGCATGGTGGTTATTCGGTATTTGCGGGTGTTGGTGAGCGTACACGTGAGGGTAACGACTTGTATCAT